GATAGATCAAAATCATCTTAAAATGAGTTTACAAACCAGGAGTTAGCTAATGCAAATGTCAGAGCATCAGCTTAATGAATGCATGACAGGAAACTTTGCAGCAAGGGGCCATTTGCTTGCAGACCAGCTGCAGTCTCCAGACAGACTACAGCCGATGTATTAATTTTCAGTAGCCCCATGCCATAGCAGCAAAGGCCTGTGCAGCAGTCTGGAGGTTTGTATCTGAATGGAGCAAGTACAACTCACCCACAGAGCTGAAAACAAGGTAGCATGACCTTGGCAACCTGGTGATGTAGCTGAGCATCCGGACTGGACCCTCAACGGCCGTGGTGTCTCTACCATGGGGGGCCCATTATCTCCCTGCTGTTTCTTCTGGGTGCTGCCCCTAACCAGGCAACAGCATCTCTGCCCTGTCTTGATTTCCTGCCAGCCCTCCTCCTCCTCCCCCTCTGCTCACAGGAGTTGTTCTCAGGCCCCATCCGTGCCCTGCAGCACCCACTGCACCCGTGGAGGTGAAGGTGTAAAGCTGCGCGCTGTTCTGGTCAGTAAGGGTAGTCTCCGTGTCTCCTTCCTCTCCTCGAGAGCCTCTAACTAACAGATGCAAGGAGAGTTTTTATGTATCTGCGGTGCAGTTAGAAGGAGCAGTGATTATAATCAACATGACGGAGAACTGCAGACGCTGTTTTGCAGACCCCCCCCCGCCCCACACATGGGGTGGGACTTACAGGAGCAATGTGGGCAGGCAAAGACAATATGTGCATTCAAGCATTGTACAGCAAGTGGAAGTCTCTCCAGTGGTTTTCAACTTTTTTTATTAGTATAATTATTTTTATTTCCTCGCAATGTCAGTTCTCTTCAAGAGCTAGCGTACACAGTGCTCAAACTGAAAAATTAGCCTGCTCTTATCCTGATATCAACAGGAACTGCATTGAGATATAATTGTGGTAGGGACCGGATAATGGCAATAATAGATAGCATGTTAATTGCTTTAACTCTCTGAAGCATTTTGTGACTGCCTGCTCTAAAAAGCCTGTTGTCTTGCCTGCCTGGTTTGTTTACGTATGAGCTAATTCTTTCCAAATCCCAGCCTACCCCAGGGTGCCCTATCAATATCCAAGATAGGTTTTGAAATTAGGAATTCCTGACTCTTCTTATTTTCCCCTATCATAAGATACTGTCCATCCCCTGCAGATGTTTAGCCATAGTGAGCCATGCTCACAATGATCTTATAGTAGATGCCAGAGGCATTCCTGGCATAAATGAAAATCCCATTCGGTTCAGCTGATAAACTTACCCCTTCTGACACAAGCAGTCCCACTTTCCTCTGTTGGTAGAATTGTTTCAACAAATATTAGATTAGTTTTTCATGAAATTGAAATCCTCCATGATTTTCATGACTGAATCCTCCACTTGCAAAGGGCTTGGTGCTGCTGTGCTCCTCGTCCCATCCCATCGCATTGCGGGTTGATAACACCGCTCACCTTCTCCGTATCATATTCAGCCGTGATCAAGTGTGAGGCATTTACTTGCATAGGACCGCTGAGGTGCAGGACGAGCGTGTGCCGGAGAGTGGCTGTTGTACGCTTTCTTGTGCTCACATCACCAGTGAAGTCCGAGGGCTCTATAACCACACACCAGTGCCAAGGCTCTGTATTCCAAAGACAGAGGGAACAAAAATAGGAAAGCAAAGAAAACAAATGTTGCATTAGTTACACAGACAATATGATACAGTTGAAAAAACAGTGCTCTACCTAACACAGTGGAAGAATTTTCTTTGAGGTTAATCCTAAAGTTTATTAAAAGTCACTATTTCGAATGACTGCATCAGAATTAGACATATATTCTTATACTTAATAATATTATAAAAGCTCTCACATTATTCAAATAAAATCTTCTATTGTTACGAGTGATGAAAGCATAAACCAAAGTAGTGTAAAAGAAGATACAGGTTTATATCTGGATTTCCAGATCCAAAATGGACTTGATAAAGTTAGTAAAATTTGGAAAACCAAATTGTTGGAGGGAAAAAAAATGTGTCAGCAGCTTAGATTCAGCTCCCTGTGATCAGAAGATTTTGTGCAGTCTTTTAATAGGTGTAGCATGCCATGCTGTCGGACCACGACTGTAGTATATAATATGAGAGAAAGGAAACAAAGTGTTTGCAAATATTTACACAACTGGTTGTATACTGATGTGTAGAAGTGGCCAGTACTGGCGTGTCCTTTAAAGGACATTGTTTTCTGTTGATGTTTAATCTAAAGAGTTTGCCATCAATTAAGGTGAACTTGCGTAATTATTTTAATACACTAATACGGCTCTTAGCCTGAGGCTGCATCAATGACAGGCTATGTGCATAGTTAAAAATGTATCTTCAATATGCACATATGTAGTTCCAACTATTTATGGAGGCAGATGAACTCCAAATGGCTGTGAACAAAAGCGAGATCAAGACCACTGACAGCAATCTGTCCACAGGACCAGAATATGTACCTTGTTATATACTGTTCATTTTTATTCATCAATGGATTGTAGAGCAATATAATTTGCTTTGAAAACAATTCCGCCCTGTCATGTAGAATATTTCAGCTTGTTATTGTGTGTGTCGACTGGCCATATTCACTAGTCCTTAGTATCTTTTTTAGTCTTTAATCATTTACATACTTTCTTTGAAAATAGCCAATGTAATCAGACCTGGTAATCAACAAACTGAGAAGTGGAACAATCCTCTTATCTGTCTTTCTCTGTTCTGGCATTTGTGAAATAGGAAAAGTCATGCTTCGGACATCCTTATTTTCCCCCACATTCAAATACACACAAAACAATGAGCCTGAAGGCATTAAGGACTACTTGTGCCAAAGAAATGCTTGTTCTGAAAACAAGACTTGGTACCTGCTAACTTTCTCCTGGGAGCACGCAGTTTTGCCTGAATCATACGCTACAGGCTTGTGGTGAATTGTGGTGTCTTAAAACTGTACTGCTGACACAATTTTGAAGTAGAATACCCTGAAGGAAAGATGATGATGATGCATTTAAGTAATTGGGCTGCGTATCCTGCATACACTTTTCAAATTTTTCGTAGATGTATTTTGTAAATGTCTTGTTTAATTCCCTTGAGAGTTTGCTTGGGGATTGGAGAAGGCGAGACAGTGGAGTTAGACCTTC